GTTGAGTTTTTTAACTCTTAATGACAACTGTAGCTCTTTATGAGTCGGTTGTCAGAATTACAGGAGCACCTTTGATAGATTTTACCTATGTGAGTGTGAAAGTGGGGCTGCTAGGATCAGCACAAGGTCGTAACATGCTAGCCATCAAAGCTTATGTCAACACCTAGATTATTATGTGTGGGTAGTGATAAGCAGTCATAATTCAAGTCTAAAACCATTACTAACTCTGGAGTAGAGATCACTATTTTACTAGTGGGGGTTCTATGTAGAGCACATCTTCATGATGTATAATATCCCTCTTTGCCTGATAATTTTTGTCTCTAGTTTTAAAATTAAAATTAGTGGGGGATTGTTGGTGTATAAATGCATTCATGTTATTTTAATATTAAAATTATATATATGCATTCATGTGTATACATACATTATTTCATAAAGTGTAGTTAATAATTATATAATAATGCAATATGGTGAATTGAGGTGTTTGAGTGTGAGTTTATTATTCTCAACTAATTACGCGTGCATTATGGTGAGTTACAATTATAGTTCATGTGAAAGGTTATGAGTTACTTGAGTCATTATTGTATGAAATATGATGACTCTTCATTTGTTTGTGGATTTATATAAATTAGAGCATGTGCATCCATATTTTATATAGAGAATTGTGAGTGTATATATACATATATATATATATATATTATATTGTGTTTATTAGGCAATCTGTAAAGGTGTTTTTGTGGTGGAGCTTTGGACTTATCTACGGGTTGATGGAGTCAACATGACTAAAAGTCGGGCTGTTGTATGCTGGGGGAGATAGGCTAATATGTGATATTTTGCTGCATCAGAGACTGGTAGTTTTTACCATATGAGAAGGACTTGAAATCCTTAAAAAGAGCAAGATTACAGTACCACAGTTCGATTTATTGTTGTTAAGTTTTTGTAATTGGCAATCTCGTTTGACAAAACTCTTTTTAGTTGTAATTTTATTCGCTATTTTATTTCAATGAGGATATGAGTGTTTAGGTTTAGAAGTGAATCTAACCCGAATTGTGGTTATGTAGAGGAATTTGTGTTGACATTTTGTATCTTGAGCATTCTTTGTTTGCCCTTAGTAGGTCCGGGGTAGCGCCTAGGCAGGGTCAAGGGGCAGTGCTCTTGAAGCCAAAGTTGTTTGACCGCTCGAGCGGTGAAGTAGATCATCCAGTATCTATGCCTTCAAATTAAACTTTTGGAAAATATGTTTTACCGCTTCAACAGTAAATGTTGCACTCGAGCGGTTGACCTATATGTTTTGCACCGCTTTTACTCACACTGCTCGAGCGGTAAAGTGGTGGCTCAAGTGGTCATCACGACTTTGTTTACTATAAAGTGCACCGTTTGTTATTTTTAAGGTTGAACCTGTCCAGGTTCTCAAAGAGGAGTAAAATACAAAGAATTCTATATTGGAGGTTGATTTATAGGAGTTTCCTTGATGTATTAAAGGTGATCAATTGATCAATAAACTACATATTGATAAACATAAAGGGTTGATTTTTTTTGTTTATTCACAAAAAAAGAGGTGTTCATTTGTGGATTTTGAGAAACTTAGGCCTGAAGCTTTGGTGGATTTCGGAGTGGTTTATCATCGTGGATTCGACTTTGGCGTTGTTAGGCAAAGAAATTCCAAGGTGAAGACGATGGTGGAAGAGGTACATTGGGTTTGGTTTAATTCGGGTTTTGTACTGTAATTATTTGTCTTCTTAGTGGATTGTTTTGTAGCTTTAAAGTCTTGGTGAATCCGAGGTTGGATCCACAGGGATTAGAATATTCAAATAAAGAATCAAGTGGTCAAAAGTAAAATAAAATAAAGTGGAATGAAATTTTTTTTGAATGATTTGAGAAAATAATTAATTAAAAATAATTCAAAGTAACAATAACCTGAAAGTACTAAGACATTAAGGGTTCGCTACCAATGTTTTATTTGTAAAATATTTCTAATTCAATTTGTATAACTCAACTGAAGATCACACCAAAGGTGTTTTCAATCAGAAAATAAAATAGTTATTCTGAATAAAAAAATATCTCAAAAGGATTCATTATTTTGATTGATTGATTACATAGTAAAAATCTAATTATTTGATTCACAGAAAATTCTAAGTTTCTACCATGTTCAGAGTCTACGATAGAACAAATAATTTTATACGACAAAAACTTTACCCAAAAATATTTAAACTAAATAAAAACTATGATTGAATCATAAAATACTTAAAAATAATTTATTGTGATTTCACCCCTAATCTTAACAAAGAAAACTAGAACTCAATAAAAAAAAAAAAAAACTGTATTAAAAAAAACGACTGAATGAATGATAGCTCTCACAGTAGAGTTCATATATTTATAATAAAAAAAAAATAAAAAATAATAAGAATATTCTACGGAGGTAGGTTCGACAAGATTTGGTGTGACTGTAGTATAGGGGTGCACAACAGTGTAACAACCTCGATCTGTGATTAGCCTATGATTCATGATTAAGAGTGCTTAATTGGTAATTAAGAAGAAATTCTGAATTAATTACATGTGTACTGCATTATTTGTGTTTATATCTGTCTGTTATAGGAATATCTATTTGCGTTTCTGATTTGTTCTGTGAATTGAAAGCCTTATCAGCATCCAATCACGAAATTGACTTGGTTTATGTGTTATTTAGAATTTTTAGGATTTTATGGTAGGTTTAATTGAAATTTGATTCGGAACGAAATTATTAGATTAAATTCAATTAGACTTAAGCTAAATTACCTTTTCTTTTTTTAATCATACTTGATTAACTAACCTATATAAGGATAATTGAACTTCGCTGCCTCACTCTAGACTTCTTCATTTCCTCATTTTTGAGCCTACAACCATTGGAGAGAGAGAGAGGAGAAGGAATTCAAGCTCAACTAGGGAGATTGCTAGGAAATTTGAAGGAATTGGCTTGAACTTAGCTAGAATTTGAGAAATTGGGAAGAATCACTCAAGAGGTCAAAGAATTGAGACTTGTAGGTTAGAAATCCAACCCTTGAGTTATGTAGTGACTCACTCAATTTGTGAATTCAAAAGAAAATGAAAGAGTAATGTATGAAATGAACTAATGTAATAGGAAAGAAGAAGATTAGAGCATGCATGTGCATTTCATTGTATTTTTTAAGTAATTCTTCCATGCATGTCATGTTTCTAACGTAATTTTGAGACTTCATCATGTTTTCCATCAATTTATCTTGTTTTAGCATGATTTGAAAGGTTTAAGTTTAAGGAATTTACTTGCATATTATGTTTTCAACATTCCAAGCTTAATTTTGCACAATTGGCTTGCTTTTGGGCTTTGATTTTACTAAATGATTTTGAATTTACATTGTTTTACAAGTTTACACATGTTTCCTTAAGCTTTTGGCCCAAAAGAACATGATTTGTAATTTTCAATTCGAGTTTTGAAGCTTGAAGAGCAATCTAGAAATTCTAGAATTCTACCTCTTCGCTTGAGTGATAGAACCTACGCTTGAGCGACCACACTTACATTTGTACCTCTGCTCGAGCGAAGGAGTCTAAGCTCGAGCATAAAATTCATGCTCCCAGAAATTTTACAAAATTTTGCAGATTGCTCGAGCAACAAAAATTGCGTTCGAGCAAGGACCTTGTTTTCTCAGTCTTGCACTCGAGCGACCGTCGAGCGGAAAAATCATGCAACCAGTACTTTTGCAGAGTTTGCAGATCGCTTGAGTGACTGAAGTTGCACTATTACATTGTGTAGGTCATGCGCCATAAGCTATTTGATCTTTCTACTCTGTCTGTCTACTTCTAGAGCCATCTGTGAGTAATAACTTTGTAAAGCTATGTTCAATTATAAGTATTTTTTGAATGATATAAGATGATCTATTTTCTAAAATATTATTTTGTATATGAATGAATGGTTGTTCAATGTTTCTGAAATGTACTCATGGCATCATTAGCTTTAGATGACATCTGTTATCTGTTCTGTTATGTCCCAATTATGGGCCAACTGTGCGTCTCATGAGCCAACTGTACCGTCTCCGTGTATGTGAGTCAACTGTATGCCTTAATGGCCGTACTTTTATGGGCCAACTGTTTCTCCTAGTGCTAATGGATGTACCATGTATAACTAATTGCAAATTCTGAGTATGAGTATGATTCTGAATTTATTTTTGATATGAACTCTGTTTTCTAAACATGATTATGAATCCATTTTTGTTAACTACGGAATACTATTTTCTGAATCTGTTATGAAAAACGTTCATTAAACCCTTACTTTGTTATTATTCATTGGGCTTCCGCTCACTTTATTGCTTATGTATGTAGGTGACTAGGCACGTGACCAGACACAGTGATCATTACCTGGAGGTCTGTTTTGTTGGCCAACCTTTGTGCCTCCCGAGGAGGTTCCGAAAAATTCAAGTGGTTGAGTTTTGTGGAACAAGTTATAAGTTTAAGACTTTTTTTTTGTTTTTGTTTTTGTGAACACACTCTTTTGTGTTATGTTTATTGGCTATGTAAGATGGATGTATACTCGGCGTTATATAAGGGTTTATGCATAAAGATTTAAATTTCCTATCCCATGTATGTCTACACAGCTCAATGGACTATATATGTTTTATATACATCTGCATCTATAACCCTTTATTATATATTAATTTGTTCTGAGGCCTTTGGTAATTTTAAGATTACTGGCCAGTTACGACGCTAAACCTATAGGAGCGGGTTTGGGTCGTAACAGAGTGATATCAGAGCACGAGTTATATCGCACACACGAGTCCATATGAGCTATAGGGTGTCCTACAAAAGAATTAGGCACATTACATCTGCATGTGTGAGTGTGTGTGTTAATTTTTGTACATTTGAAAAACTGAATCTGAACATGAACATATGAATAAGATTATTCCTATATTTATTATTGTCTTGGTTACCTATAGCAAAATGGACCGTACAAGAAGTGATGGTACAACCAATCCTTTAAGGGCTGAATGAGTCAAATGGAACAGATGCTCGAGGCTTTCACAGCATTAATGATGCAACAACAAAGACAACAACCTCTGCCTCCTTCGCCCCTTCCGATCCAAGTTGAATTGGAAAACAACAACATTGTTAATTTGACTCAGAAATTCACAAAGATGAAGTTGGCAACCTTTCTAGGTGGTATTGAACCACTGAAAGCCGAGGCATGGATGCTAAAAATGGAGAAACTATTTGAAGTATTTCCGTATTCAGAAACTTAGAAAGTTTTACTGCCGTTTACACTTTCAAAGAGGAAGCCCGATGTTGGTGGATGTTGATCATAAATGATGTTGGGACCATGACTGGAACCAATTTAGGGAAATTTTCTATGAAAAATATTTCCCTTAGTGTTTCAGAGATCGCAAGGTTTTTAAATTTGAACAATTGAAGCAAGGCAACATGTTTGTAGCCGAGTATGAGGCTAAATTCACTGAGTTAGCCCGATTTGCTCCTTATATGGTAGATTCAGACTACAAAAACGCTCAAAAATTTGAAGAAGGCTTGACTTTGGAAGTGTTTGCTAGGGTTAGTGTATTAAAATTGCTTAAATATGTGGATGTGCTTGATAGAGCCTTAATGGCTGAGGCCAACTTAATTGCATTGAAACAGACTAAAGCTCCAACAACTGAATGGAGAGGTAAAAGATCTGGATTCAGTTTCAAAAAGGGCCGTTCTTTTGCTACAAATAAGAAGCAAAATACGAGATCAACTAGCAGTTCAAGTCAAAGTAGTGGATCTGCACCTATTTGTGCTGAATGTAAAAGAAGACGTAGAGGGGTTTGCCATCGTGTATTTGGTGCTTGTTTTCGTTGTGGAAAGACATGTTACATGATAAGAGATTGTCCAATTAGGTTTGAGAATGTCAATTGCCCCGCAGCAAGTTCAGCCGGATCTGCTTCTGTAACGAGGTGAGGTACAAGAACTAATGCCAAGGGTAACACCGGAAATGAAACGTTAAGGCAAGAGAGAGTGTTCTCACTAGTACCTGGGGACGTGCAAAACACTAAGTCTGTGGTATCAAGTATAATTTCCATTTGTGCCCAAAATGCATATGTCTTGATAGATTCTGGTTCTACACACTCTTTTGTGTCGTATGTTTTTTTCTTGAAAATTAACTAGACCTTTAGAACCCATTGTAGACACCCCATTTTTGACCGTCCTCAAGACTTGGACGTCACCGCTTGAACACTCGGTGATCATCCATGTTTGTGTTCGTCTTGAGTTCCTGGAGGTCTCGGCTACGCGCCTTGCCTCAGGATCTCTTGGCTCGACTGTTTTGTGTCTGGTTTTGCACCAAACACTTGTGCTTTGCCTTGGAGGGGCAGGGAATGGCCTATGGGCCATCCCCACACTCCACCGGCCATGGCTTGAGGCCACCGGTTGTGCTTTGTTGCCACCGGCCAAATGCTTGGCCGGCCGGCTATCTTTTTTTGGTCAATTGCATTTTTGGCCGGCCGACTACTGTGCATCTGCTTTTGCAGATATTTTTGTGCAGCTGGCATACACTGTCACCCCCTCCATACACGTGTATGGAGGGATTACCCTCTTGTTAGCTTCCTTTGGAAGCTTTACAAGACTAATTGTCTATAAAAGAGAACCTCTTCTCTCTTGTTCAGGGGTTAGATAACTTAGACAACATTTTCAGAGCTTGAGCTTTAGGGTTAGGGTTTACATATATCCTCTATCTCTGTATCTCTCTCTTTCTCTCTCTTGTGTTTAGTGTGTGTTTAGTCTCATTTTTGTGCACAAACACCCACCATCACACCTTTTCTTGGAGCTGAGGCCCTTGAGGGTTGTTTTTGGAGTTGTGGAGCTGGTTTGAGCTTGAAGAACCAGCTGGTTCACCATTGGTGAAGAGGGTCTACAAGGGTAAGAAACTTGTCCCTTTATTCCCCATTTTTGCATTGCATTTTTGCCTACCTTGCATCTATTTTTGAGCTTTGTGTATAACATATAAAAGTCTTGTTTTTGTCTGCTCTAAATAGTTTGTTAAGGGTGTTTTAAGCTTTGGAGTTGTTTGACCCCTCTTAAGGCTTGTTTGGCTTTGTTTTGTGCCATTTTGGTTGAGCTCCGGACCATTGTTGTTTGGCCTCCTCACCACTGAGATTTCAGAGGTGAGGATGGTGCCTTGAGGTCTAGGAAGGAGAGGGCCACCGCCTCTCCTTGTTGTCCTTGAAAAGGGCTATTTTTGCCTCTTGAGGGAGCATCTAGTTTAAGTGTGTGTTGACCATGCCTTGACTGAATTTATTGCTTATTTTGCCATGAAATAGCATTGTGTTGAGTTGGTTTGGACACACCTTGCATGCTTTGCATACATGTCTTGTAATGCCATCATTTAGCCTTAACATGCATCTAGGCTTTGACCCTTGTTCAAGCACAGTTTTAGGCCTTGCTTTGTGAAGCTTTCTTACTTGTTTTTCCATGCTTAGGTCTGCCTTTAGTTGTTTTGGTCGACCATGGCATGCATTGCATAGCCCATTTTCATTGTTTAGCTTGTAGGCTTTAAATGTGTGAGTGATTGAGCATGCATTGTGTTTGATTTATTTCAGTGGTTTGACACCACTTATAGCATCATTTCAGTCCTCATGACATGCTTGCATGCTTGCCTTTGATGCCTCTTTGATGCCTTATGAGGTTGTGCCTTATGCTCCATGTTTGGTCATTGTGCATGCCCTTGAATTTAAGTCATTTAGATGCCATCTAATGTCTTTAGGCTTTTTTTAATATGCTAAAACTCAGTTTTTGCTCATTTAATTCATGCCATGTTTGGTTTTGCTAAGGGTAGTTCATACCTCTTAGCTTGCCTTGAGTTTTGGCCTCTAATTGCATGCTCATGCTTGTCTTGTTGGCTTGGTTTGGCACCATTTTAACATGATTTTCAGAGCTTATGTTGCATGTCATTAGTCCATGTTTTTTGCTCACAAAGTTGTCTTCATTGCTTAAGTGTTGGACCATATTTGTATGACATGCGTGTGTGTGTGTTGGACCTCACTTCCATAGTATTGGCCACTGATTTTGGCAAGCTTGCAAGCTACCCATGTTAGTTTAAGCCCACCCCTTTGCATGTTGTTGTTGTTGTCCACTTTGTATGTTGTTGCATATTTGTGTGTTGTTGCATGATTGGAGTTGCATGATTGAATGAAGTCACATGCTTGCTTGCATGCTCGAACACCCACATTGTGCCTTGCATACTTGTTAGTTGCATTGTGGCCGATGGCGTCATTTGCATGGCCATTGTATGCCTTGTATGCTTCTTAGCATTGTCCATGTTGCATACTAGTCGGCATGCTTAGGATTGCATTGCATTGGCATGCATGCTTCGCCTCTTGAATTGCTTGTGATAGAGGTTGAGTTCAATTTGCTTGATTATGTGCATTGCATTCCATATCAACATGCACACTTGATTCTTTGGGCCATCATGCATGGAAATGCGTGATTGGTGGCCCGAGAATCGAGGCCCATCCTCCTTTGAGTCATAAATATGATAAGGAGTGTGGTTGGTGCATACATTGCTTGAAATGCATTGCCATGCCAAGTTCTGTCCTCTGCTGCTGTCAAACCAGTTTTTGCAGGAAGATTTGGCCGGCCGGCCATATTAAGTGCCAATCGGCCATACATAAGTGGCCGATGGATTGATTTATGGTCGATGACCATTTCCCATGGCCGGTGACTATTCCTCACGGCCGGTGGTGCTCAACAGCACTCAGAGAAGCAACCCTGGGACTTGTGCAGTCTTTAGAGAAGCAGAACAGTCAAAGCAGAGGCAGCTTGTGCATGGCAGTGACTTCCGAGAGGAATCGAGCATGCATCGCATTGGACCCTCTTCTCGAGGCTGTTTATTGCTTAAATTAGATTAATTAATTTTCTTAATTAATTAGGTGGTCTGTAATATTTAATTAGCTTGTTAGTTAGTTAAATTGTATTATTCTTTCGGTCCCTCTAAGTGAGGGCTAACTTGTAATAAGTGTGGGTGCGTGTGTGCATGTCTTCCAATCCCCCACTTCTTTTTCCCTTTTACTTACCTGCTTTTGATGGTTAGTATTAGGGTATATTTAAATTAGCATACCTTATGCTATGCATGTGTGCATCCATACATTTTTCCTACATGCACCGGGCTCGGTACATCATACTAACTGCACTTGTATTTCAATTCCAAGTTGAATACCTGTTAGTTGCAGCATTTCACATTCCATCATTAGGATAGCCGAGCCTATTGTAGTTGCATCTTGTATGTGTTGCATTAGCCATCTCAACATGAACTAGGATCATGCACATGATTACTAACTAGATTCTGTTCTGGCTTGGAGTACTCGGTAAGCATTTATGCTTTAGCATACCGCATGCGTGTGAGTGTTGCCATAATAGCATGATCACCACGAGGCTAGCTGCTTATGTGATATAACTGCTTGAATGCCTGTGGATGGAGGTTGAATTAACTGAATTGGGATAATGTATTAAAACGGTGAGTTTTAAGCCCACTAGATAGTGGCAAAACCATCTATTCTAAAGCCCACTTGAGGGTGGCAAAACTTGCATTTTTAGCTTACTTGCGAGTAGCAAACCATTTTCAAAACAAGCATGAAATGTTTTGTTCCAATTTAGGCGATTTGGTCTATACTTGTTTGTTGTGCGTATAACATAGTAATTCTAGGCTAATAACCAGAATAAGAACGCATAACGTTTTCAAAAATGGATATCACGGTTAGTAGGGCGAGAAGGGGTGCTCATAGCTGACCTTCCCCAATCGTAGCCAAGCTCCCGAGCCGAGGCAACTTTGGTGATGACGGACACGTGGCCTTTGGCACCGAGTCAGGGTTTCCTAAATTCCCCCATAAAAAATATTTAGGTGGCGACTCTGTATCTGGCAAAGCAGTCCATGTTTGACACTTCTTTTTTAAAAAATCTGTTTTCTCAAAACGATTTGCCGGATTTGGACTCTTTGGTTCAAGATTAAAGACCGTGACACAAATCGAGTAACGAACTGTGGGGGGCGCGTCCACACCCATGAATTACTTACTGTCTGTATCTACGCCATTTGGGGGTGCTATAATATGTGCTTATACTTATCCGACATGTGATGTTGTGATTGGTGGTGTAACATTGTATGTTGACTTATTGCTATTGGATATTGATCATTTTGACTGTACACTGGGTAAGGACTGGTTGACGAAGTATTGTGCAACTATTGATTGTGTGAATAAATCTGTTGTATTTCGTCCACCTGGTTTACCTGAATTTGTGTTTGCTGGGAATGAAGTAGCTCTTCCCCCGTACTTGATATCTGCTATGAAAGCTGCTAACCTGCTTAGGAAGGGATGTAGGGGTTATCTATGTTGTGTTTTGACTGAGACTTTTGATAGTCCTAATGTGGAAACCATTCTTGTTGTTTGTGAATTTCCCGATGTGTTTCTGCATGAATTTCCTGGGGACTTAATTGATAGGGAGATTGAATTCACTATTGAGATAATACTTGGAACACAACCAATTTCCAAAACCCCATATAGAATGTCAACTTCTGAATTGAAGGAATTGAAAACTCAACTTCAAGAATTGTTAGATAAGAATTTTATTCGCCCGAGCACTTCACCTTGGGGTGCTCCAGTTTTATTTGTGAAAAAGAAAGATGGGTCTTTGAGACTATGTATAGATTATCGGGAACTGAACAAAGTAACTGTTAAGAACAAGTATCCACTGCTTTGAATAGATGATATGTTTAACCAACTTTAGGGAGCCCCGAATGTTTTCAAAGATAGATCTTAGGTATGGATACCATCAGTTGAAGGTTAAGATAGAAAATGTAGAGAAAATCGCCTTTCAAACTAGATACAGACATTATAAATTCCTTGGAATGCCATTTGGAGTAACGAATGCACTAGCTGTCTTCATGGACCTAATGAATAGAGTATTCAAAC